GAATTATAAGGATTGAAAAGGGCCCTAGGAACCATGTAGATAAGTGGCTTTAAAATACATGTTCCCAGACCAGCTCAAGTCCATAACAAAGTTTTCATTAGGCCCCTAGCACACAGAAAAAAAAAAAAAACCAACAGAAGTTTTCATGTAACCAAAATTTTCATATAACAAGATGTATTTGATTTAAAAAAACTGTCTTTTAATCTGAAATTATATCCTTCCAACTCTTCCATTTTAAAGTGTCCTACTTTGTGTTTTCCATTTATATATTTATTATCAACACTATGTCTTATCACTTTTTGTTTTGTTTTTCAAACTCTGTTAAAGATTGCAGACTTTGACTACCAATAATCATATAAAAATCCAAGACAGAAGTTTTGGCAAAACTCTAGTAAGAAATAGTTCCCAACCAGCCTCTCCTCATAGCAAGAATCCTCTGTAAAGCATTCTTGAGAAGTGCTCAGATTTTGATGATTTCAGTCTTGGGAAAAATAATTTTCAATATGCATACCAAAGATAAAACAATATTCACAAAAAGTTGATGATGTATGTGATTTACAATTTTAAGGAAATTCATTAAACTACTTATCACCTAAAAATAGCAAGAAAACCATGAAATATTTGTTTCCAAAGCAAAACAACTTCAAGGAATTTTTCTAAAATATAGAGGAAATTATTTGTAAGGGAGAAAAAAGTCCCTAGGATATGAGAGATAGGATACTTCAAAGACAATAAAAATTAATAAAGTATAACTTTACCAGAGTGAATTAATAGGATAATAAAAGAATTCCATTTATCTCCATATAGCTTTTCCAAGCATCGAAGAGCACAAAGTGTCGATCCTCCATTTCCTTAAAAATAAGTTAAAAACCACAATTTGTTTCATAGAAACCTGCTAAAATTTTGTAATGATAGTAAATTTAGGTGTAATAATTTTAAGGATATGGCTTTTGTTTACAATTAAGTAGGTAGACAGCAAATGTATTGGCAAAAGAATAAAATTAATACATCTCATAAATGAATAACTAGTAAGCACAGACAACCTCCCTCAGTAATAAATTAGCTAATATTTTTTCAAAAGAGTAACAAAAGAATAACTTAATTGATCTGTAACACAAAACTGTTAAGTACAGACATTCATATGGAGTTATAAATTATAAAACCCAATTCAATAAGTCTCCCATATGCTACTATCATACTATAAAACTTACACTTTCTTTTTAAGAACATTTTTAGAACCTGGTTTTCATTTAAAAATTCTTATACCACACTAGTTATAACACTACACAAGATATTTAACTCTCTGCATCTCAGATTCTCATCCATACAATGGAAATAATACAAGTACTGACCTCATTATTGTGAGGAGTAAGACAACACTGGCTAATCATAACAATGCTAATGTCATATGCATATATCCTATCCTTGGTATCAGGTGCTCAGGTTTAAGTATAGCCTTCAGGAAAGTAGTATTTATTTATTGTTTTTACAATAGAAGGTCAAAGGACCAAGCTGACATAAACAAGAGTTTTAAAATGCATATTTTATGATACTTAAGTTCTTGGGCCAGGTTCTTTTGCATATTGCTTGGGGTTCTAAGATATCTATCTATCTATCTATATTTTCCTGATTGGTTTTCTTAATGTAAATTTCTGAAGAACCTATAGGGTTGAAGAGACCTACTGATAAGATCCAAAGGAATATTCACCACCTCAGTAAATGTTATTAAAACTTATAAAATTCTCTTTTAAATAACATTCTGGAAGTTTTTCACTGTAAGTCACAATGGCCAAGAACAGTTGTTTTGCCTTTATCTTTCTAAAAAAAGAGTCAATTTACATTCAAATTTTAAAGTGTGTAAGTGATGGGTGTAAAGCGAAAGTCTGTAAAGCACAGAAAAGATTTTCTTTAATTATTATTCTGCCCAGAATCTATGTTATAAACCTGTCCATAAAATGCATACCAATTTTGGCTCCAGCAGGATCAACAAAAACATGATATTGAACTCCAAGGGGTAATTCCTTTCTTTTCAGCTTTTCTGACAGCTGTTGCCTATAAGCAAGTTCCTGCTTTTCATCAGCTGCTGTTATTACAACTACATCCCAGAATTCTCCAGCTGCCACAGGTTTGCCTATTTGGAAAAAGCAAGAAAATGATAAAAAAAAATTTATCATAACTCTCTAGCTATTAAAAGTTTGCCTATTTCAAAAGAAGGGACAGCATGTTAACACTTATCATCATCTTAAATGGATCTTCTGCTTTTGAAAATTAGCTTATTAGTGGCTTACTGGTATGATTCAAAATAGTTCTAATGAGGACTGCTCACAAGTTTTTTGTTTTTTCCTTTTTTTATGGTCTACAATCCCATTTACTTGGAAATTTAAAAGATGTAGCATTTCTTGATTGAGTTCCTTTTATCTTGCCAATTTTTAAATAAGAAGAGGATAAAAAGAAACAAATACTCAAATCTCCAACTCGCAAAATCAATTTTCATTTATCAGGACTATTTAGTGTTTGTTGGTTAAGAGAAATTCAACCCAACGATCCATTCATTCTATGTTTCTGTTTAAAAATGTTAGTACTTCATTATTTTTTACCTTAAGATGAGCCATCGAAGGTTACATAGGCTAGTAGAATATGACAAAATTCTGGATCACAGAAAATGTCCCAATTCCCTGATGAACTCATTAAAAGACCGATTGCACTTTTGGTAAGCAGTTGGAATCTCTTATCAATAAAGAAGACGAATGAAGGTATTAATTATTCAAAAAATGAGACTTGATATCTAGGATCTAATAGTTCAGAATATTTTACTCTTTTCCAAATATGGGTCTCTGAATTTTCTAGGCAATATAATCAATATTGATTACATAATCAATAAAATTGTACAGGGAGTGCAAGTGACGTATCTTATTCTTTTTATAACTATCAAACTTCCACCCCTCAGTAACTTTACATTACAAAGTTTGTGAGCTAGGTAAAGGGTTGGGGAAAAGGCAGTTATCAGAATGATTTGCAAGGGTCAAAAAGCGATGTTCAGATCGTTTTAAATTTATTTAAAATAACTTCCATTAATGAGCTAACCAATGCAGAACTTAGACTTACAGCGTCACTGGTTAGACTAATAATTTTCTTCCTTCTTTGTTTTGAAGGAGACAGTGTCAGAACACAAAACTCAAAAGAAACATTGGCTCTGTCTGGGTCAGTGTCTCAGGCCTGCAGATAATAGCAGACAGGAAGTGACAGTGCAGCAAATCTCCAGGCACGTGAGGCTCCCTCCCTCTCCACTGCCCAGGAGACCTGGGTTCCTCCTTTGGTACCTCTTAGTTGTGAAAACCTCCGCAATTTTCGCTGAGTGGCTTCTTGCAGGGATACACCTGAAGGGGCCGTGGCGGCTGCCATCGCTCGGAGACCCTGCGCAGCGCAACGCGCATGCGCGCCGAAAGCGGCGCGTTTCTCAACCCGACCCCCTCCGCCCCGCCCCTTCCGTGCGTCACTCACGTAAGCACGCTCCCGAAAGGCTTTGTGGGCACAGGGAAAGTCGTGATGGGTTGAGCCAGGCCCTTGCACCGTTTCCCAGGCAACGGACTCTATAGCAGATGGCCACCTAGAGATCTGTCGAAGTGTGCAGGTTCTGGGCTGCTTTTTACAGCTCATAAGGCTTTGCAGCCTTGTTGACCCGGTGAGTGGTTGAGGTTGGGTGAGCAGGTGTCTGAACTAGCCCACTGAGAAGATGAAACCACAGCCTCGGTGTCAGCTTTCTCCCCAAAGGAGATTCGCTGTGACAGGAGGTTTGTTTCACTCAGTAGCTGTTCCCACGAACTTCTTGTCACAAGATATGAAGTCTGAATATCCTGACATTATTTCATATATACAGATTAATCTAGAACACTCAGTATTATTCTTGGGGAAAACTCAGCCATATCAAATGTACTTTTTATTAGCTAATTATAAGCGCTTCTCTTGTTGAGCAACATGTTTTTAGTGAGCTATACAGATTATTCTCATCTTCACACAATTTCAGTTTAAGACATCTGAATCAGAGAGAGTAATGATTTAGAAAAGGATGACAATTAGTAAGTAACTGAAGATGTATGGAACATGTTTCAATCCCACTCAGAACTCGTTCTGCCAGGACATATGGTTTGATTTATTTGAAAAGTATCTTAAGTATCTTGATTAAGACTTTTAAAGTCTTAATCAAGAACATAGGCAGTCAAGGTCCTATAGACTTTTACTAGGCTTGTAAGTAAACGTAGTTTTTTTTCATTTAAGTCTTGACCTTGGAATTTAATCCTGTGAAACCATTTGCTAAAAAGGCAGATTACTGTTTCACAGTTTTATCACTTAAAACTTTTTTGTTAAAATATATCCCTGTGAATATTTATAAAATACAGATTTGACTGAAGTGAGAGTGAACAAAAGAGAAAGTAGGAAGAGAAGTCAGAGGAAAAAGGAATCTTAGAAAGGATTTTGGTTTTTTACTAGAGTGAAACAAAGCCATCCTAGGATTTTGATCTAACATGCCTCATGTTTAAAAGGATCACTCAGAAATTTGAGAATACATTTATAGTGGAGGAAAGGGCAAGGACAGAAACAGAAAGACTTGTTTGTAGGCTATTGCAAGAGTTGGTAAAGGTTTGGCTGAGATGATGTCAGTGGTGGTGGTGAGAAATTGCTCAGATTCTGGACATTTGGGAGGCAAAATTAGTAACATTTGTTGATCGAATGGCTGTGGAGTGTTAGAGAAAAGGAGGAGTCAAAGTTGACTGCCTGAGAATGGAGGGGGCATCAAATGAGATGAAAGCTAGTGATGGAGAAGCTTAGTAGGGTAATAGGGAGAATTGGTTTTGAACATGTAAAATAAGTATGGATGTGTATGTAGTGGAAACTTGTGTGTGTATGCATTTATGTGTAACTATGGAGTTATGGAGAGAGATCTGACTAAAAATGCAGTTTTGGAGCTCTTGGCATATTGATAGGATTAATTTTAAACTATGGAGATAGGTGGAGATCTCAGAGGAATAAAGGTCAATAGGGCCTGTATGTTTGGGTATAGAGCATTCTAAGAAGGCAAATAACGAATAAAAAAAGGTCATATAGTGTAAAGAACTGTAAGGGTGATATAATAGACTGTTACACAGAAATTTAAATAGAGCATTTCTTGGATCTATGAAGGGTGGCCATTGAAATGTGTATTATTTTTTCCCAATATGGCTACATTGCTCACATAAAATATGCTAGAAGTAAATATCCCACATTTCAGCTATGATTTTTGTTATACCATTTTTCTTTTTTCTCAAATTTTCATTAATTTTTATGTAAAAATTTATAATTATACTGCATACTGTCTGAGTGGTGGTAAATTTTCTTGGCAGTTATCATGCGAAATGTCTAGGAATTTTTAGTTTATGTTCCGTGTACTATAAAGCAAGGAGATATGATTGTTTAAACATTCCGAAGCTACCAGAATATTATTATTTTACTGGAGCATTTGCCACAGAGAATTTACTAGTTATTTGCTATAGTAGTATTTTAAAAAATAAAATGTACCAATCCAGCTAAGTGGTAAGCCCATTAATTCTGAAAAATCAAACAGTAGAAATGTGAGTCTTCTATTCCATACTTTAAAAAGGACATTGAGCAAATCATAATAACTTGAAAAAACAACATTCTGTGAAGGCATTTGGGTTATTCCCTCTTGGAAGAGAGGAGAGTAGCTGAAGAATTGTCAAAAGAGAAGAGTGAGAGATTTTTCAAAACAGCTTTATTGAGTTAAACTTTTATGCCATTAATTTCACCTGCTTTATATGAACAATTTAATGGTTTTCAGTAAGTTACTATGCTGCCATTGCCACAATCCATAGCTGAGTTTCCATCCTACCACAGTAAGATGCCTTCTTCCCATGTACAGCTAATGCCAATTAGCTTGTTTTTTTTAACCAGATTGGTATAGCCATAGTATGACTGCTGTGTAAAAGTTTTAGAGAAGTACAGTTTAATTTTTATCTTCTTCTTCATATAAAGTTGAAATCAAATGAAGGACCATACATTATGACATGGACTTCATGGTGCAAAACATGGCCAAACCATGCTAGGGATAGGGTTTTTCTTTATATATGTTTCATTGCTTCCTCCTCCTTATCTTCCTGACATGTGCCAAAAACTCATATTCTCTATTTACAATTACTTTTATTTGAATTCTTTTACTCAGATAGCTTGTACTCAATTTCTTTCTTTGTTTTTTTTCTGTATTGGTAGTACTGTGGTTTCAACTCAGGGCTTCATGATCACTAGGCAATCCGTTAGGTATTTTTCAGATAGGGTCTTGATTTTTGTCTCAGGCTGGCCTTAGACTAATATCATCCTACTCTGATCTCTGCTTCCTGAGAAGCTTGTATTATAGGCATGTATTATAATACCCAGCTCTCAACTGCCTTCTTAAACATTTTTTTCTCACTGTACCCTGTTCTCACTCCCCCTTCATTTCTGTAATGTAGGGAAAATACTTCACTCATTCCCTGCCTCCAGACTTCTATTCTACCTATTTTTGCTACTTTAAAAAAAAATAGAATATCCTGGTAGTATAATCATAAACTACTTTCTAGATATTAGCATGAGTTTTTATGGAGGGGATGGTTAATGGAAGTGGTTGAAGAATATCAGTTAGTAAAGCAGTATTTTATTAGTTTAGCTCAATGTTTTTTACTTTTAATAGAAACATATTTGTGGTCCAGCTTTAGAGGATCAAAAATATGTTGTATGACTGTTGACCCAAGACCATTTGGTCTAGAAGAGAAAAATATTTGCTGTGCTAAACTTTCCTTATTAAAAAGTTGTGATTTCCATGTAGATGTTTTTATGTGGATATTTTGATTAGTTTTGATTGTTTTATATCTACCTTCTGGCTCACCACCTTTTAATTTTGGGGGGAGTTATGCTTTTGAAGTCTACAAGTGTGAAATAAACATAAAGCTGAAAAATGGTGTCTCATGAAAGCATTTTTTTCTGAATATGATTTAGCTGCCTTCTAAATTTTAAAAAGCAAATACATTTAAAGCAAAAGAAATATGTCAAGAATATAAATGAATCCTGATTCCTTCCTCCAAATGACTTTTTATGTCATTTGAAAATGTGGAGAAATTTGCCATAAGAGTGTAATATTTCAAACTATCAGGGTTATTTATGTTAACTTACAAAACCTATTATATTAATGGTTATTTGCCAGACACATCTATAGTTCTGACTCTTATACTAAAACCTCCTTTCTTTAATTTTTATAAAACCTTTTGATGGATATAGCTCTGTGGTAGAATGCTTCCCTGATGTATCTGATGTCCTGAACATCACAGCACCACAAAAATAAACAAAAGATTTTTTTTTGTCTGTGGTATGAAATCATGGCAGTCCTTCATCAAAAAAAGATTGACTAAATATATTTTCTGTCCAAATAAAAAGAATCTTAAATATATAATTGCTTTATTTTTCTAATATAGGTGGGGTTAAATATGTTGCAGACGTCCTAAACTCAAAAAATTTTTCACTTTTTGATACTTTACATGCAAATACCTTAGTTGCTGCTTTGATAATTCTGGAGTCCAGTATACAGAATTTCATTTATTTAGCAATACCATGGGCAATGCTTATAAAATAAGTTACTTCCACAGAGATCATCAAATATAATACTATATTCAATGTATTTTTTTACTTAAAATAACAATGTGTTCATATTCCTATTACCTAAAAATTCTTGTGAATAAATATTAAGTCTGTAGATAATTGACATAATCAAGAACGCATTTCTTTGAAAATGTCTTTTTAATACTTACTATGTATCACATTTTGAAAAGAAATAAATATGTAGAATAAGTATTTTTCAATATGTAATTTAGATATTTGCTATTTTTAACCTTTTGTAGTTCCACTTCATGTGCATTTCACAAAATTTTTTAAATGGAATATTTGGGGTAAAGATAAGTCTGACATTTGATGTACTTTGTACTTTATAGGACATAATTTATAATAGTGTGATATGATGCATAACTTTAAACTCAATAGTTTAAACAATTCTCTCTTTTTTAAATTGAACATATTTGAAGCTGTATTTAGAGATCTAATGCTTTTTGTGACATGTTAAACTAAATTTGCCTTTTGAACCTCATGTATAATTAGTTGAACTTGATAATTTAAATACTTGCATGTGTATTTCACAGACTTAATTGTTAAACTTTCTACATCTAAATGGACTCCTCTTTACTGGCCATTTATAAAATTGGCAGTACTTGGTAAGCAGGTTTTTAACTAGGCAGAGGAGAAAATATCATTGCAATGGTTTTCAGTCTTCCACGGTTTGCAGTAGAATCACCTTGACCCATAGTTGCAGCAGTATGATTCAGAGGTATGCTGTGGGGCCCGTGTTATTCTAGTTTTTATGAGTCAAGCATGTAGAAAATCTGGCTACCTTATTATAGACACACACATACATAGATGATATGGAGTCCAGGACAAGAGGGAGAGGTCCTAAGATAGCATGGAGGAAAGGCTTATTCACTCTAGCATCACAGCTACACCTTACCTCCTAGGTGTCCTTGACAGAGTATCAAACATGTCAATGAACCACTTTAGATGTGCCAGTTCAGTTGAGGTTCATGAGGCTGAATCTTCAGCCAACATCAGAAGATCTCACCTCAACTGAGTGTAACCATAGAATTTTGAGAGATTGTAAAATGGTGGTTGTTTCGAGTCAGCGGATTTTAGAGTGATTTGTTACATGGCTTAAATAGCTGACAATGCACCATGTTTTTTAAGAAATTGAATATTGGTTTTGGAGAATTCCAAATGAAGAAACTCAAGGAATTTCTAAGTGAAAGAAACTTGTAATTTGTACTTAGAAGTTCTTTATATGGTCCTTCTTCCAAATTTTCTGTTTCTCTGAGGAAAGAGAAAAACTGTAAGATACATCCAGGAAACTGATGGTTATTGAAATCTGACTTAGTTGTAGGTTTGATGTTGAAATTTGAAAACAAAATAACTTTAAGATAAAGCAGTTTCCTCTCCTCAGGGTACATATAGTTTAGTGGGAAAAAGGACCTTTAAATTAATTAAATTGAAGATTTGTGCATGGCACAGAAATGTAAGTAATGAGTAAGCCTCAGCTAGGCAATGATTTGCCAGACCGTAATAACATAAAATTAAAATGGCTGGAGATGATCAAAAAAGAACAAAAATCCTTTTCTGAGCCTTAGAGAATTTTGTTGACAGAGGTGAATTTCCACATAGACATTGTTAGGAACAAATTCATAAGAAGGAACCACAGTTTTTTAGAATATAACAGTGTCTTGAAAAGTTTGAGAAATATCAGGTTGTTTAGTTTGCCTCTTGACCTTGGACATTACAATATATTTAGAAAATTTATAACCTATATCAGTTTCCAGTTATTGGACTTGATAAAAGGCCAATCCAATTTTCTTTCCATTTAATACTGGTTTGGTCTAACTGAACCTGTGTTCCCAATTTGCAAATCTATTCTGCACTCAAGTAAAAATCTCTTTACTTTTATATTAACCTTATTTATGATTTATTGGTTTGAGGAAAGTTACATCAAGAGAGAAAAATGTGACATTCTGAGAGAGGAATTTAGCACCTTTCATTAAGCATCAACATTGTTAACTTTAAGAATTTTAATTACTGAACTAAATAAAAATTGCTATTTCAGTACTGCCTATTTTTCCTTACCAACAATTCAGTTTTTTCCATGAAAATCACTATAAAACATTTTTAAGAATTGGGTAACTTAGAGATTTTCTTTTTTTAAAACTTTAATTTGTCAGGACATGTAAGTCTCCTTAATCACTGTTGTATTTATTTCTTATACATTTTTTCCTCATAATAGACATGTTTTGGTTAAATCTAAAAAGTAGGTAGCTGTACAAAATGGAAAGAAAGAGCACTGAATTAAGTAATATGAAGATTATCTCAAATTTAGATTTAATAATAGGCCAAAAATTTTGTAAGAATAAGGTTTTTACAAAATTTTTGGCCTATTATAGCATGTTTTTATTCAAGCTGAAAAATGGTTGTACAAGATGCAAATATAGACATTGAATTAAGTATTAACATGAAAATTTCCTTAAATTTGTATTTGTATGACTTGATACTTCTTTTCTTCCTCAGACTTTATGTCTTAATGGAAAGAAGCTTTTAAATGAGGCAAGAATGCCAATAAAGTTAATTTCCTTACGATATATTAGCTTGTTTTATATAGAAAAATTGAACATATTTCTATATGATAGAGAGAGAGTACAATATTATGAGATGGATTAAAACAGTATCAGTTAAACTTTACAAGGACAACAAGGTTAGTCATTTAATTTCTACATTTGAATGTTTCACATAAGTACAGAACTTTGTTTTGTAAAATTGTATGAGATCAGGAAGGAAATATAAAAAAAATTGCATTTTTGAATACTAGTAGCAGATCATTGAATTATTCAGATGACATACAGATATCATTAATCCATAAAATTTAGTGAATTGATGAAAATTGTATTAATTGCTATGCTGCAATATTAACAATATAAAACCACACACAAGCCATTTGGGATAAAATAAAATTTAAAATATCATTGATTTCTGATTGATGAATCTACAGACATTAATAACTATACTTAATTAATAGCACTGTTTAGAATGACTAGAAGTTGATGCTTGGATTGTATCTTTTACAAATGTATTTCAAAATAGACTAAGATGGAATAATCAGTCTAAGGAAAATGCTTTGAAATAACAGACATATGTAGTTATATGAATATAGTTGTGTAATTTTACATATACATATATGTAATTTGAATACTGATGTAGTGATAAAAATTATAAAGTCACTTTCAAGTGTGGAATCTCTCATGCTCTGTGTGGATGGGTGTTGATTTTCCAAAGGTTTTGTTAGGAATTTACAAGTTGAAAAAAAAGGAAAATTAAGAAATTGAAAAGGCACGTCAGCCTGGTCAAAAATATTTGCTTAACACATAGCTGATAATGGAATGATATCCAAAATTGTGTGAGATACTCAAACTCAACAATAAAAAAGCAACTCCATTACAAAATAGACAAAAGATCTGAGCAGACACCTGACCAAAGATATACATATGGCAAGTAAGGCTATAGAAAGATGTTCAACATTGAATGTCATTAGAGATTGCAAATTAAAACAATGAGATACCATTATCCATCTATTAGTATGGCCAGAATCCAAAATACTGACACTTATCCAATACTGGTGAGTATGTGAGCCATGATCCCTGGTATTTATTGCTGATGAAAATGAAAAATGGTGCCACCACTTTAGAAGACAGTGTGGCAATTTCTCACAAAATAAATCATAGTACATGATCCAAGGCTCCTTGATATTTACCAAAATAAATTGAAAACTAATGTACACACTAATGTACACAAATGCTTGCAACAACTTTATTCATCATTTAGTCTTGGCTAGACTATAAAAAAGTAGCCAATGTCTTAACATTTTACGAGTTTATCTGGATTTTCACCTTTATTCTCATTTGAATTTTGTTGATTTAATTTATCTGCACAACATAGAAATTGATTCTTTCAATGCGGAAGGTAGTTAATCTTGCAGGAAACCACCAGATAGACCATTTATGCTTATACATTCTCTTCTAAACTATCAGTAACTGACTTGCTTTTATGAAAACAAGTTACCCAACATAAGGAAAAAATTTATACACACACACACACACACACACATATATTTGGGAGATGCTACATAAAATTATAAATAAAGCATTGATCTAAAAATTTTAGAGTAAGTAGTCAAACTTAGAAGCATTAACAATTCTAAGTCTTAATTTCCTAATTGAATGGAGCATAAAAATGGATAATGTGATGGCAAATTGTCTCTTTAAGAACAAATTCAGACTGGGCATATTACATGGAAGGCATAGATAGAAGGATTGCAGTCTCAGTTCAGCCCCAGGAAAAAGGAAAATCTTATCTGTAAAATAAATTTAAAGTCTAGGGATGGGGCTCAAGTTGCAGAGCACCTACCAAGCAAGTGGCAGGTCCTGAGTTCAAATACCAGTACTGCCAAAAAGCAAAAAAAGAAGAGAGAGAAATATTACACCAAATGAAGGCCTGTATTTCATCTGAACTTTGCAAGGCTGCATTTTTCATCCTCTTCCACTAGGATTATCATTCTCCTAACTTATTAATTATTTAGTGTATTTTAAAATACTTAACAGTATCTTTATACTAAAATTTATACTATGTTGAAGTATAGTTTTCTTTTTGTTTCTTGATTTGTTGTTAGTTATCTTGTCTAGAAGTTATATCTTTATGAATTTCATGTTTTCTATCCTATGAGAAAAGGAAGATTTTTCTTCCTCTCGATGAATAGTTTATTGATGAGGGTAGTGATACATTTTTTTTGTGATACATTTTTTAATAGTAGTTGTATAAATGTTAGATACTAAGATATTTTAGCAATGAAAGATTCTGTGGGAATTAAGGTATTCCTTTTTTAATTTTAATTTTCTACTCATTTCACTATCTCTTAGCAAATATTTTGTTTTATATAAGTTGAAAAAATTTACAAACAATTTTCCCTCTTTGCTAGATGTTTCATGGCACAATCATAAAAGAGCTAACTAGTCATGAAGAATGGAGTCACTACAATGAAAATACAAAAGAAGATCAAAAAGATTTTGTTTTTGTGAAATTCAATGGACTTCACTTAAAATCTATGGAAAATTTGCAATCTTGCATCTCTCTTAGAGTATGCATTTTCTCAAACAATTTCATCACAGATATTTATCCACTTCAAAGTTGTTTAAAATTAGTCAAACTTGATCTCCATGGAAATCAGGTAAGCAATAACCATTGTTGAATATAAATTAAATTTATATATAATAAACACCTATCCAATTATTATTCCCAGATAGTCTTTTGTCTATTGTATAAACAAAAGTTAAAAATGAACTAAAATGTAAAATGTGAATAAACAAAATATATTTGATACACTGTAAGAACATTTGTAAGTACTGCAATGTATCCACAGTCAGCACAACAATTAAAAAAGTAAACAAAAAAATTAAAATAAAAATACATAGAAAAAGCCTGATTTGCTATATTTTACTTTGCAAGTCCACAGTCTGGATTAATAATACTTCTTGACTCCTTAATTTATTCATTTATCTCAGTATTGTGCTTTGAACTCAGGGCTGTGTTTGGCAGGCAATCACCCTACCATTGAGCTACTACGCTCCTTGCTCCTTAATTCTTTTTTATGTAAGGAAAGATTTTTAGTAAAGTTTAAGAGTTAGCCTATTATCACAGAATTTCATTAAGCAAAATATACATGTTTATGCATTTCATTATACTACTAATAATAGCTTATTCCAAATGTCCAGTGTAGTAGGTTTTTCTCCCATTCATGATTTGGATAATTGGAAACAGTCTTTGTGATTATTAATTAAGAAGTTTCCATTTGGGAGATACTGAGTTTTAGGAGGTGTTTATGTTTTACTATTTTCCATGAAATTTGCATAAAAGTAATATTTATGGTAAAATATTTCTAATATTTCAGATAAAGAGTCTACCAGATGCCAAATTTTGGAGTGGACTAAAGAATCTAAAACTCCTCTATCTTCATGACAATGGGTTTTCAAAGTTAAAGAATATGTGTGTATTATCTGCCTGTCCAAACCTCATTGCCCTCACTGTGTTTGATTGTCCAGTAAGCCTTAAAACAGGATATAGACACGTTCTGGTTAACAGTATATGGCCTCTCAAAGCACTAGATCATCATGTGATTTCTGATGAAGAAATAGTGCAGAACTGGCATCTTCCTGAACGATTCGCAACATATAACCACCGACTTTTCTTTAATTTCTGTCCTGCATTGAGAAAGGTAATTTGCATCTTTGGGGTTTTATTTAAAATAAATTTATAGTAGCAAAATTTTAGCTTCTAAATTTTATACTTAATTATAGAAATTGTTTAATAGGTTTGCATTCTGTATATAAAATACTATGAATCAGTTAATATTTTAGTAATGGCTTTATACCTAAAAAATTATAAATGCTTCTGTGTCTCTTTTATAAAAAAATGTTGAGTCAAAACCCATTAAGTTGTAGAGAAATATATTTTTGCTATATTAAAATTATTTAATTTTTTTACTTTTCATAAGGATGTTAATCATTACTACATTAATGATTTCGTAGGATCAGTTTAAAATTTTTTCATTTTTGGTAATTATGGTTTAAAAATAAAAAAGACAGTGTTTAAGTCTAGTGTCTTAACCTGAACCCTAAAAAAATTTCATTTAGGTATTCCACTGGCAAGATATGGTGTAATCAAAGGTGGAAACCTAAGTGATCTCTTTAATGACAATAAAATGGCTGAGGAATAGGTGCTCATTTATGGAAGTAATGAAGAGTTGGGAAAAAGTAAAGAATTGGGAAGCAGTGTGAGTGATGTACAGAGAGTTTACTTTTCTTAATGATTTCAATGAAGATCAGTTGAAGTTATTTGTGTAGGAAATATTTGAGTATGTCATCCTATGTGCTTTATGATATTACAGATGATATTACTAAAGTTTTTCAAAAAAAATTGGTTAAATATTTTGCCAGCAGTTGAAGCGGGGAGGAAGAAAGACAAATGAGAACAAGAAAGATCAATTGCTGGAGACCAGAAATGATGTGATTGTACAGGCAGGCAGTAGTCAAAGAAGACTGTAAAAAGTAGAGGACAGACACATAGTCAGTAAAAGCCATTGCAGTAAGCACTTTATATGGTTTATTTCTTCATTCTTTCACCAAATACATGCTTTTTCTGACCCATTTTGGTTTTTTTGGCAGTACTGGGATTTGAACTCAGGAACTCATGCTTGGTAGGTAGGTGCTCTACCACTTGAGCTACTCCACCAGCAGCTTTTTCACTTAATATGTAAATGAAATGTTTCTGGATTTTTGGAGACTTAGTAGTAGATAATATGAACAAATTTTCTACCCTCATCTAAGATCAGTGGAAAGGCACAGGATATAAGTAGATAGGCTGAAAAAGATAAAACAAAAAACAAAATAGCCATAGAATTTCAGATAATAACAAAAGAAAAGAAGGCACTACCACAGGTTGAAAGGGGTGGAGATTTTGGACTATATTAGGTTGGGTGTATGGGGAAGGCCTTTCTGAAAAACTTATATACTCTTATCTCCTTTGATATGGAAACACATTACTCTCACTTCACAGAAGAAAATAAAGCACAATGAAGTTTAGGAACTAATCCAATATTAGACAAACAGTGAGTCATGAAGCTCAGACTTCAACAACTTTGAGTTTCATGGTCCTTCAATCAACATTCTATCACAAATGACAGTGCAAAGATCTAATGTGATATTGTAAATTGATTGAATGTGGAAAGAGGAAAATAATAAGTAAGAAAATATACCTCTAATATTTTGAACCTGGGTAACTGGCACAAAAATGTAACTTAGTGGAAAGGGAAACATTTAACAGGTTTTAGTAGAAATATGAATGTGGTCCTACTCTTTTAATATTGAACTAGGCATTGGAATGAAGAAGTAAATTAAAAAGTAGTATTCTGGCTTGAGGTGTAAATCCAGCAATCATTTGTTCGAAGTCAAAGTTGAAGACAAACTCTCTTAGAAAAGTACAGGCGTTAATAAAAACTGAGTGCTAAGGACAGACCCTTAAGGCATAGTCCCATTTTTGTGTGTAGAAAGCATTGGAGCCAACAAGGGTAAAAAGGAATTGATCCTGGGAAGTGGGAGGAAAAACAAAGCCATGGCTATTATTATCACTTAGGTTAAGAGGAAAAAAGTGACTAAAGATGAAGATGGTTTCTAAAGGGTCAAAGAAAATTAGCACTGAGACAAAAGTATATTGAAAGGCTTTTTGGTGGTGAAGCTTCATTTCATCTTGGAATTTCAAAAGCTTCCAGGTGCTGAATATAAATTGTAATGGGATAGCATGTGATTGTCAATTATAGAACATTTTCTCAGAATATCTTGGAAAGAGGAAAGATAAAGTCTTAATTGTAGGAAATAGAACAAATGAAAGAATTTTTTTAAATGAATGATAACTAACAATATACTTTTTAAGCAGAGGAAGCAATTTTGATTTAAAAGCAAAAAAGTCAGATGTGGTGGTACATGCTTTTAATCCCAGCTACTCTGGAGGGAGAAATTGGGAAGACTTGACTTAAAAGCCAGTTTGGGCAAAAAGCTAGTGAAATCACATCAAAATAAATAATTCCATCATGGTTTTCAAAGACTTTAATTCTAGCTCCAAGGGAGGCTATAGGTAGGAGGATTGCAGTCATAGGCCCATCTGTGCAAAAAATGCAAGACTCTATCTGAAAAATAACTAAAGCAGAAAAGGGCTAGAGGCTTGGCTCAAGTGGTAGAGTGCCTGGCTACTAAGTAATAAAAACAAAATGGACTGAAAATTTCAGAAATATGTGAATAATTGAAGAAGAGCATTGTGGAGAAGGTATAATGGAAGATCACACAGAGTTAGCCTTGAAGAGATAAAATTACACCAAATGCTGAGAGAAATTTTATGAATAGAGATTTAAGGATGTCTATTTGAGTAACATTTTTTAATTTACCTGTAAATTTTGATTTGTTGCTATTGCTGTGAAAATATTCTTTGATAATTGAAGGATTTTTTTTTTTTGCAGTGTTGGGCTGCTGGGGATTGAACTCAGGGCTTTGTGCTACTAGGCAAGCACTCCACCACTTGCACCACACCCTCTGTCCTGCTTTTTGTTTGTTTTTCAGGTTGAGTCTTAAGCTTTTGCCTATGCTGGCCTCAGACTGCTGTCCTTCTACCTCTGCTTCACAAGTAGTTGGAATTATAGACACGAACCAGCATACCTGGTTTACTTTTTAGTATATATAGGGTCTTACTAACCTTTTCTCCAGGCTGGACTCAAATCATGATTCTCCCTTCTCTGCCTACCATGTATCTGGCTTTACAGGTGTACAACACCATGCCCAGATGATCAAACTCTTGAACAGGAATAAATGTGAATCTGTGGGGATAAATATTGATTTACTAATATTTGAAATATATTTCAGAATATTTTATTGTTATTAATGAGCTTAAGAACATTATGAAAACTGAAAATAATAGTGAACCTTATAAAAATACAAAAAATTATTACTTTAAGTATTATCATTTTTATTAAGAGAGTATAGATATAGAAATGAAAAAATTATATGTTTATTCTAAAAGAAATAAATCTAGTAGTGTAATGAAAGTCTGTGCCCTACCACACAGTAAAAATATCCAGAAGGATCTTTTTTTGTCCTCCATGGTGACAAAAATGATTTATAGACATTTTGTGAGAAAAGAAAAAAATGGGTTCTACTTTATTATATGAAATCAAGTAATTTTAGAAATTTGAAGCGCTTATTTATCTATAAGCTTATAATGGGGATTGAACTAGAGCCTCATACTTGCTAGGCAGGTGCTCTAACACTTGAGCCACTCCACCTGTGAGATTTTTTGAGATAGGGTCTTGTGAACTATTTGCATGGGACTGCCTTCGAACCATAATCCTCCTAATCTCTGCCTCCTGAATAGCTAGAATTACGGGCATGAGCCATGGTGTCCTGATTGTCTGTGTAATCTTTGTAAATATGTAGGTGATCTGGCAAGGAGCAATGTTATCAGATGGAATTGCATTAGTTTACATGTGAAAAACAGCAACTAATCAAAGATTTTATTTTCATTGTATAACAGAAATTTCAGAGATAGACAGTACTTCGGATACATTGTGGCATTTACAAAAGTTCTTATTTCAAATATATCATACTTGAATTCACCCCTTCCCCCATTCTTCTTTATCCTCCATTTACATTTTTCCATTTACATACATGTGTACACAGTATTGGCACTATATTCACCCTCCCACACCTTTTCCCCACCTTCTCCCCACTGATACTGCTACACGCTACACAGGGAGTTTCCTTGTGACATTTCCATATATATATATAGTCTAAATTGGTTCATCTCTATTTTTCATCATTCTACCTTACTCTCCTTCTTATGGTTGTTTCAACAGGTTTAACAATTCTGTATTAATTCTTGTATAGAGAGTATATCAACCATATTTACCTTTCTAACTTCCTTCTTTAACCTCCCCCCCCCACCCCGCCCCATATGTGACCTCCCTTTAACAGGTCTATATTCCACATATGAGAGAAAGCACTTGACTTTTGGCCTTCTGAACCTGGCTAACTTCACTTAAGATGATGTTCTTCAGTACCATCCCATTTACCTGCGATGACAAAATTTCATTCTTCTTTGTGGCTGAGTAAAATTCCATTGTATGTAAATACCGCATTTTCTTAATCCATTCATCAGTAGTGGGGCATCTTGGCTGTTTCCATAGCTTGGCTATTGTGAATAGCCTTGCAGTGAACATGGGTGTGCAGGTGCCTTTATTATAACCTGACTTACATTCCTTTGGGTATATCCCTAGGAGTGGAAATGCTGGCTCATATGGCAGTTCTACTTTTAGTTTTTTGAGGAACCTGCAAACTGTTTTCCTTAGTGGTTGGATTAATTTACATTCCCACCACCAATGTATGAGGGTACCTTTTTTCTCCACCTCCATGCTAACATTTGTTTTTGTTTGTTTTCTCATCTTATTCCTAAAAGACTTGAAAAACTCCACCAAAAACTCCTACACACCATAATCAGCTTCAGTAAAGCAGCAGGATACAAAATCACTTTACAAAAATCAGTAGCCGTTCTATACATTAACAATGAACAGACTGAGAAATAATATAGGGAAATAATTCCATTTATAATTGCCTCATAAACAAAATGAAATGCCTAAGAATAAACTAAACAAAGGATGTGAAAAATCTCTACAATGGAAACTATAAACCATTGAAGAAAGAAATTGAAAAAGTGTACCAAAGATGGAAAGATCTCCCATGCTCATGGATTGGTGGAATCGATATCATGAAAATGGCTATATTACCAAAAGCAATCTATATGTTCAATGTAATTCCCATCAAAATCCCAAAGACATTCATCACAGAGATTGAAAAATCACCACTAGAGTTCATTTGGAAGCACAAAGGTTGCAAAATAGCCAAGGCAAAATTAAGCAAAAAAGAACAACACTGGAGGTATCACAATACCTGACTTTAAACTATACTACAGAGCCATACCAATAAAAATAGCATGATACCAGCACAAAAAACAGATATGAAGAGCAGTGGGAGAGAGTAGAAGACCCAGATATGAATCTATGCAGCTATGCCCACCTGATTTTTGACAAAGGCACCCAATACATATGATGGAGAAAGACAGCCTCTACAACAATTGATACTGTACAAGTATCAACTCAAAGTGGATTAAAGACATTAATATAAGACCTGAAACTTTGAAGTTCATACTGGAAAGAACAAGGATACATTGGAATTAATAGGCATAGGCAATGACTTCCTAAATAGAACTCAGAAGGCTCAGCAACTAAGAAAGGATTAACAGATGGGACTACATGAAATTAAAATGCTTCTGCGTAACAAAAGAAATGGTCTCTAAATTGAAGAGGCTGCTTACAGAATGGGACAAGGGATTAATTACCAGAATATACAGGGAGCTTATAAAACTAAACTTCCCAAAAATCAATAACCCAATGAAGAAATGGGCAAATCATCTGAACAGAGCTTTTTCAATGGAAGAAGTCCAAATGGCTAAAAAAAAAAATGAAGAAATGCCCAGCATCCCTGGCCATAAAGGAAATGCAAATCAAAACCAAATTAAGATTCCACTTCATTCCTGTTAGAATGGCTACTATGACGAAGAAAAGCTTCTTTACAAAAGGCATATGCTTAGGGCAGTATGAGGTGGAATTATGGGATCAAAAACCACATGTCAGCTAAGCCTGTCTATTTTGTATTAAGAAAATGATAGCTCTTGCAAATCTTTTATCTAATGGGTTTCTACTAGTATAAGTGACTCACATGGTTACCAATACACACAGTGAATCCTGTTGTGGTCAGTATTTTTAATTGAAGACATTACTTCTTAAACAAAGCCAGTATCAAGAAAGGATATGAGTTCATTGAAGGCAGTTCATTTTTTTCAATGAAAAAAATTGATAATGCAATACAGGGAATGTAATTCAAGTACTTGATATCCCTTTTTCCTTATTTTCAATGTAAATGTCAAAATAAATGTAAGAATGCATATATAAGTTACCCAGTAAATTGTTAGGGGTTTTATTTTTGAGACTAGTTTTGCTAGGTTGCCCAAGCTGGTCCCTAATTTAGACTCAACTGATCCTCATGATTTAGTCTCTCCAATAGCTGGGATTATAGGTGTGTGCCAGTTTGGCTGGCCTAAATAAAAATATGTAGATGTGAATTCATAATCACCTTAATAATTTAATGTGCATTGAATAATATTTTAAAATTTTGAATGTTTTTATTTTTCCCAAATAGAGATTAAAAATGTAGTCTATATGAAACACACAAAAAATAAGAAAAACTGTCAAAAGTTAGAATATGTTTATAAAAATTATTATAATTTTCCAAATGTAAAATGTAGATGTAATTTAAATTGTGAAAGTAAATACATTAATTTATTATAAGTTACTATTAAAGCCAAAATCAAGATAATTATTAACAAAATTGAGTCCAAGTCCAAAATTAATGCATAAAAAGTAAATGTAAAATACTAAACAAGTATTTATGAAGTAAAATAAAACAGAAGCCTCAAACAATGTGGAATTCTGCATGCAAAGCAATCAATGGAATAAAGAGGATCTCAACTGATGTGAAAGGCAGTAGTCAAAGTGAAGGTATTTTAATTCTGACCATCAACATAAAAATAGTATTGTGCAGAAAATATACTAGGAATACTTTTGTGAATATAAGCATAAATTGTTAGTAAAATTATGAGAGGGAGAACATATATTTTATCTCAATAAATTATGTTGTTATAAATATATATGGGCTGTGCCTGGTGGTACATACCCATACTCCCAGAAACTCAAAAGGCATAGGTAGAAGGATTGCAGCCCCAGGTTGGCCCTGGGCAAAAAGTGTGAGGTCATATCTATAAAAAAAGGAGAAAAGGTCTGGGGTTATATGAGGCCATGTGTTTATACCCCAGTACTACCAAAAAAACCAAAAAAAATCTAAGCAGTCCTCTTACCTGTAGGAGGATGTAGCAGATATTCCTTTAGCTAAGAATGAGTAAATTCCTCGGACAGTATATACATTATATAATTACATAGTAATACATTATATATCTTACATATAACATATTATATATATATATAATATATATATATATATATATAATATATATATATAGTACACTATATAAATTCCCTGACATTAAATACAACACCCCCCTCAAAAACACTGGAAGGCTTTGAAAGACAAAGAACAGATAGACTGGCTGGGACAACTGGACTCTGAGGTATGATGCAGTGGTGTGTCCCCTGTTTCAATGGCTTTGTCATTTCTGCATCTGAGATCTGAAGCTGAAAAAGTGCATGAGCATGAAATGACAAAGGTTTTAAAACAAACAATGGACTAAACAAACAAACAGAAGCCCGCTCGCTTTATACAAGTTAGGGAAAGGGCCAACCTAGGAAGATGGACAATTCTTACACAATAGCTACTCTAGTTGATCCTAGGCTTCAGAAAAACACTGTGGTCCATATCTCATCAATGTCAACAAAAGCTGAGAGGAAAGCTTAGACTTTTATCTTTTTGAGGCTCAACTGTGTCAGAGAATACCTAATAGAGAACCTGGA